AGAGAGAGAGAGAGAGAAAAAGAAAGAGGGAGAGAGAGAGAAAAAGAGAGAGAGAAAGATAGACAGCAAGAGATAGACAGAGGCAGAGACAAAGATAAACAGAGAGACAGAGAGACAGAGAGAGTTAGAGAGAGTTAGAGAGAGACAGAGAGAGCGAGAGAGAGAGAGAGAGAGAGAAAGAGAGAGAGAGAGAGAGAGAGAGAGAGAGAGAGAGAGAGCGAGATAAAGGAGGAAGGGAGGGGGGAGCGATGGAAAGATTAATCAGGGTGGATAGAAAATTGGAGTATGCATCACTCTCACGTGCCATGACTTTGCTGTTAACTGTGTATGCATGTGTCCGAATACACATTGGATCTTCCCGAGCACTACGCACGACGAAGTGCCTTACCTACCACCACACCAGACTCTGGTGATATGCACTTTAAAAAGTTTGTTTTTAAAGTTTTTGTAAATGTTTTGCGGTACTGTCAAACCATTACGGTCAAAAAAATGCTGCCGAAGATTAAATGAATTACAAGAGAGTGACAAACACACCCAAAAAAATGCAGAGGAGAGATGAGGATGATAAATATCTCGTAGGAAAGGAGCAAACCATACAAGAGCACCCACAAACCACTGACGATTTGTATTTTTAATCAAGCAAAAATAAAGCAAAATCGTCTTGGTCTGGTTTTAAGAAGAACCTTTGCCTCACACGTTAAAAACATTTTCAAAACAACATAACTTTTTTAAAATACTATCGCAAGGACTATTAATTGAAGATAATAGTGAGTGAAATGAATAAAAATATACAAATTATAATGTAAACATAATCCACTGTAAAATGGGGACAAATGTTGTTTACTGAAAGCACTCTCTTGCAACGTTTCTGGATATCACTGGCGTCAACAATAAAACAAATAAAATAAAGGTGGCCTTATCCAGCAGCTGAAGCAGATTGACAGTAAGTTTTGAGACCCGCCAAGTTCGGCAACATTATACATGTAGCAGGCTCTGCTGGGGTGCTGAGAAGAAAAATACAATGTACATTCTACTACCTGTTTGGTTTCTTTTTGCTTAGTTTTATTTGGTTCAGTTTTAGTCAGTGTTTATGGCAATTGCATTGCAATAAGGTCATATTATAAGTGCCGAAGAATAGAGATGTTACAAGAGAGTAACAAACAAAAAAGAAGGAGAGATAATGACGATAGATGTTTGATAGGAAAGAAGGACCAAACCACACCAGAGCACCAGCAAAACACACACGCTTTGTTTTATGTAGCTGACTTACTCTATATGAAAAACATCAGCGAAAAACACTGTGAGTACTTCACGAAGAGCTTCTTGACAAAACGCAGTACGTGTATATTCAAACAGTGAAAAGTGTGGAGAACAAAACATGTGTTTTATTCCCTTTTAATAGGCTTTTGAGTAAAAAAAAAAAAAAAATGTTTCAAAGCAGCATTAAATTTGGTCACAAAATATTTTGAGACAAAATGCTAAAAGAAAGCACTGTAAGTATTCATGATCACTCTTACGAACTAAAAGGAAATTGGATATAATTCATTTAACTTTTTTAAAACCATCATAGTAGGTATCAGCCCTCCACCCTTTTACTTTTCCTCACTGCATATTACACTGACATACAATCAAACTTTCGTTATCTTCATCTACACAAAACGACGAAGTGGTAATAAACACACCTTTGTTCAAAAACTGCCTACATCTCATTGGAACCTAATCTAAAACCATAATAACCAGACACGAAGTGACTTTATTGAATTTGAACATCCCCATTCACAAAACGAACAAAGATCACAATAACTATCACTTTTGAAGACAAAGTAATTCAGTCACTAGCATTTATTTTGCCAGTGTGGAGGTGTCTGGTTATTTTATAGCGAAAATGTCCCTCTTATCTAACTCTTTATATCACTGAAAATAACAAAATCCTGAAATAATTAAATCAAAGATGTCGCTGTCATAAAAAGTTAGGTAAGGGAGGTTTACATGGTGCTAACTCGAACTGGTTTTGCCATAAATTTCCGATCCACCGATACCGCAACGTTACTGAGCGACTCTTTGTTGTTCTACTGTAAGTATTGCATGTGTCTTGCAAGCTGGCAGTGTGTAGTGTGTTCACTAAGATAACAATAGATCTACCCAAATTTGCAAGAAAATACACTTCAAACCTCGCTTTACAAAAAAAATTACCACAAAATTAACATACCAAGTTGCACAAAGCACCGCTGAGTACGATTTCAAGGGCAAACATACATACTTTATATCAAGGGGG